AGCAGCCACTGAAAGCAACAAATGGACAGGGAGAAGAATGGACAGGGGAAGAAGGGGGCAACAGAGAGGGATACAAAAGCTAAGACCTTTGGGGGAAAAAGCAGCAAAGAAAGAATACAAAAGCAGCTGCTTTTTGCAATAAGGGGTCCGGTTGTGGTTCCAGCTTTTCCCAGGCCCTCAAGAGTGTGCCTCTTAGGTAGTGTCACTGCTGGTCGGCAACAAAGAATGCTTCACGTTCTACACACAATTTTGTTCAGGAGACATCCAGAGTTTATTCATCTTTCCCAATTGAAACCACACCTATTGATTAATAATGGCCCCTGGTAGCCATTCCAGTCTTATCTTATATGAATTTGGCTATGAAAGATTCTTGTTATAAGTGGAGTCATGCAAGCTGCCTTTCTGTGTCTGGTGAGTCTCATGGCATATCATGCTTCTCTAAGGACCACTCACATTGTCAAAACAGCATTTCCTTGAGTTTTAAAGCAAAATAGTATTCTGTTGCATGTGCTTTCTACATTTTCTTTATCATCTGCTGATGGACAATCAGGTGGCTTCCCTATCTTACCTCCTGCTTGGGGAGACAGGGCTGATTCTTCAAGCTAATGTACCAGCCCATGTTGCCTCCTGGTGGCAGAAGAGCCTCAAGAAAGGTGCCTCGGATCCTTAGGGGCTAAAAATGTGAGGACTTTGTAAAGCAAAACTTTTAAGAAGTTGGAAAGCTCTACCTTAAGTCACCTGCAAATTTCTGTAGAATTTTCTGTCCTTGCAAATACCTCCTCAATGAGAGATGGGTCCCTGTTTTTTAATTGTCTTCCTTATACAGGGAACAATTTCTCACTTTGCACACTGAGGCACCAGAAGGTGCTCACCGGATGCTGCCTGCACTTCTCTGCTCTCTCCACTAAGATGCCTGCCCTAGTGAGAGCCCAGTCAATTTCCCTGCTTTTCAGGAACATGGAAATTAACTGAGTGATAGAAAGCTTAGTGGGGAGCCTTCAGAGATTCTTGAAGTAGGAGATGAATCAACAGAGAAATATAGGAACCTAGTTCAAAAAAAAATGGCCCCCTCACAATTCCCTAATCAGCTGCCTCTTTTCTTAACCAGTGCCACCCCAGATTCCCTCCATTGCTCCAAAAGAAAATCTCTATTGGAAAAAAAAAAAAACTCTGTGTGTGTGTGTGTGTGTGTGTTGAGAAAATGAGTTCAAGGGCAAAGAAGATATAAGCTCCAGGAGAACGGGGCTTGTGACTTAAGTCTGAAGCCAATTAAATGTATCCATAGATCAGATGGAGGCTGCATCCTAGACAAACCCATTGCACTCTGTGATTGCAGCCTGCAAGGCCCAATAGGGCCTGCCCCTGGGGATCTTTAGGCCTCTCATGGATATACTACAGGCAACAGTGCCAGGACTGCTGACCTTTACAGCAGAGACATTTAAAAACTAAAAAGATGATGGACAAGCTCCCTCCTTTGGAATCCCACCAAATGATCTACATTCATACGGGGGAACTTCCTGAGCAAGAAATAAAGATGCTAAATAAAGAAAGGAAAGATGGTAGTTAGCCCATAGAAACCACTGCATCGTTGATTTTCCATAGGACTACCTTCTTCGTTTTCAGACTGGTAGCTCTAATCCAGAGTTGGACAGCAGGTGGAACTGGCTATCCTGAGATGGCTGTAGGAGACACTTCTCAACAGATTAGGAAAAACAAAATTCATGAATGAAACTACAGAGAAGAGTATTGGCATTGTGACCTAGGGGATAAAGCTACCCCCTGCAGTACCAGCATCTCACATGGGCAACAATTCAAGTTCCAGCTGCTCCACTTCTGATCCAACTCCATACCAGCAGAGGATGGTCCATGTGTTTGAGCCACTGCCATCCACGTGAGAGACCAGATTGAACTCCTGGCTGGTGGCTCCTGGATCCTGGATCCTGGCTTCAGCTTGGCCCAACCCTGGCTATTGCAGCCATATGAGGAGTGAACCAGTGGATGGAAGATTCTCTTCCTATCTCTCTCTCTCTCCAGCTCTGTATTTCAAATACATACATAAATAAACCATTAAAATAAAATACTGTACCAGACTATGGTTCTAACACCAACACATTAGGATGTGATTACACTGTAGCCACTCCTCCTTTCTTTGTTCAGGTTCATTGGGATTTTGATTATACAAGTAAATAATATTCTTTGTGCATATAAGTAAATCCTATCTTGGGATTCTCCATCCCATCTAGTTCATTTCCTTCTCCCAAACCCTCTCTCTGGACCAGTCATGCCCACCCTCTCCATAAACACTTGTATCACTGACATGAGCTTGTTAGAGTCCGGACCAAAGCCCCTTGACGTCAGGATGCGAGCTAGTCAACCCCCAGAGAACGACAGAGCCTCGCTGGTAATGCAAACAGCAAACAGAGTTTATTGCGCCAGCATGCTGGGGCCAGACCGCACTTGGGGTACACAGGCCAGCCAAGCAGGGCGGTCAGACCCCGAACATCCAAGACAGAAGCTTATATAGGCCTCTTTGGGCTGGGAAATACATCAAAAGTAACCATTTTAGACATGTTCATTTTTATGGCCACCAGGCACAGGCAGTCTGTTCTGTTCCCATACCCATTATTTGTATGGCTCATTTTATTCTCACACCCTTATCTTCCTCCTGTTCCTGGGACCGAAAAAGAATTGTGCCCTTGCCCCGCTGCACCTGGGTTCACAAAGTTGCAGGACAGCAAAGAACAGATTTATCACTAAAGCGGAATTCTCCCAAGCTCCAGGTGCCTCCTGGCCTGGCAAAGTGGCAGTTTTCTCTACACAAAGGAACCTCACACTGCCCAACAATAGCATTCTGTTTTAGCATTCTAATATACTATCATAGCATTAACCTATACTCCAACCAGCTCAAGCTCTCAGGTCTGTGTGGTGGCAGAAGGGCAAAAGGCACTAAACACTCAACCACGTTTTTCTGCAGTCACATGCAGCTTATTCAAACTTAAACCCTTTTCCCCTGTACAAACCTGTTCTGTTAACCCACCATTCATGGTGACATCACCTACTTGAAAAAATGGCATTTATCTTCATTTTTCTTTTTAACTGTCTAAAGAGTCTGTAATCAAGTTTCAAAAATTTGCCTCTCTGTGCATATTTATCAGACTTGAAGATTGCTTATAATTTGTTTGAGATGTCCTGATTTCACTTTCATTCTACCACCCTAACTCCCAATCTACCTCATACAATACTGTCAGCATTCCAATATCAAAGATATGTCATATCACAACTTTTTAATTACTTGTTGGTTTATCTTATTTTAAAGCCAAAGAAACAGAGAGAAAGAAACAATGAGCAGAAAAGAGCCTTCACCTACTGGTTCACTCCCCACACGACTGCCACAGCCTGAGTTGACCAAGCTGACACCAGGAGACTAGACCTCAGAGAAGTGGCAGGAACTCAAGCACCTGAACCATCACCTCTTGTCTGTCTTCAGCGTGTGGATTGGAGGAATCTAGAATCAGAAACAGATCCAGGATTCAAAGCCAGGTGCTCTGAAACGGGATATGTGCACCCTAACTGGCATCTTCACTGTGACGCCCAGCACCCAGCTCGGTAACTGTAACTGGAGCAAATATATGTTGCTTTATATTCATACTTACAAACAGAAGCAAATTACTGAGCTCATGATTAGCTAAAGTGTCTGTTCAAACAGGGAAATGATGCTTGCTTGTGAATTCCCAGAAACTGACCTTGAGGAAGCCAGCTGAAATTGCAGAGTAATCTGGTCCTCACAGGCCAGGCTAGGTAAAGGTTTGATTGCACTGTAACAGATGCAAAGGGGAACAAATAAGTAAGCGAACAGTAAGCATGGGCTCCTGACTGATGCCCTTCATCCTAAATGACAAAACTCTGAAATCTCTTCGCACAACATTTTGCCTTGTATAAACACTGCAGCCAGCTTCAATCCCTGACTTTGGCAGCATGACTTTTTTTCCAGCCTCTTTTAAAAATCCAGGCCATCCTCCCTAGGGAGGGTAGTAGTTCTTGAGACTACCCCTTCATGTATTGATAGATCAAATTATCTTTCCTTTACCCTCGAACCTGGTCCTTGTTATTTTTTGATTTAGCACTGAGATAAGGACTGAGCTTTTGGTAACAGTATCAACAGTTCTAATCAAAAGTCTTCTGTGACTCATATGAGTGATTTCTCCTAGACTTTAGCTCAGGCACCATGTCTGAGCCCCACTTGGGACAGTCATCTGTCCCAACCAGACCATCCATTACCATCCAGACACGTCCCTATTTGACACAAAAACCTGTTGGTCAGACTCTTGAGAAAGAAGAAACCAAGAGATGACACCTGCTCCAAGATGGGATCTGCCAGTGGCTGTCGAGAGGATGAAACTGATTCCTTTACCATAGAGGATATTTTCTTTAGAGACCAGGGATGGTCAAGCGCTGATTGAGTGGGGCAGGGAAGGGGACAGGTAGAATTACAGAGCTCAAAACCCAAAGAGTGTTCAGGTCATTGAAGAAAGGGACTAATATAATCTATGAACTTGAATGTCGGGTGGTAAAAGAAAATTTGAGAATCTTCTATAAGAAAACATAGGAAAGAGGGGATTTGGGGGCTTAGGTAAGATATAAGACTAAAATAGCTAATAACCAACTCAGGGGCACATTCCCCCAAAGGTGGAGATTCCTGGAATCTGGCGAGGAAATGGAGAACAGATGTGAACCACCAAGCTGCTTTTCTATTCTGAATAACCATGAGCCTCCTCCTGTCCTCCCAGCTCTGCAGCCTTCCCCACAGACAATGTCATTTTGTAGGACCCAGGGAACAGGGCGACCACTGAGGGGGTAGCTCATCCTGGTTCTATTCTCATACCAAGGGCTCGAGTGGAGCTGGGAGTTCCGGAGCCACCCAACAATTGCTCCTCCATGATGCCTTGATGATGTCACAAGTGCTACTCCCCCCTGTCCCCACCCTCAGCTCCTTCAGAGCAGCACAAAGGAACCGGAGGGAGAATCCACCTTCCCAAGCACAGCCACACCACTGGCCTTACTCGACCACTTGTCAAGCTGACTAGCAGCAAGAAGAGGTGAGTTGTACTTGGACAGCTGGAAATGACCACGTATCTACTCCACCTGCCCCAGAAGTGACCTGCGGCACCCCAGGCACTGAGAAGGGCTAAGACAGTTAGGTAAAGAAAGAGATCCTATCATTTTCATTAACAATGTCTGGGATGCACTTCACTTGCTGGGAACAGAGATTCTTAACAATGATAGACTTCAGCTTAAGGATCTGCCTCCCCTGGAAAGCCATTCTGGATTTAAAATTAGATTAGATGGCATTGTGCTTTTAGATTATTCAAGGCAAATTGATGGCATGCCAGTCAGATCCAACTTGAAGTACTGAGTGAAAAGCCATGTCCATATCCAGGAGTTAAACTGTCAACAGAACAAGATTTAGCTCAGGGCAAAATTCAAGCGAGGGAAAACAACTTCCCTTCCAAAAGCTACATTTGAGGCTCTGACATTCACATGTTCTGAGAAGTTAGAATTTCTCAATTCACCTCTTTCTGATGTTTTCCCTTGCCTGTATCACCTGGCAGGACTTGTGAGGGGTCTGTCCTCCCTGCTCTGGGCCATTTCCACTGCTCTTCCAGGCCAGAAGCAGGGAGCTGGATGGGAAGTGGAGCAGTCAAGAAATGAATCAGCACCCATGTGGGATCCCAGCATCTGCAAGGGGAGGATTTTGCCACTATGTTATTGCACTAGGCCCAAGGAGTTAATAATGTTAAATGAAATATAAACTATATAATCAAAATCAAAGGCCAATTGCTGAAGAAAAAGTCTTAATAACAGAGCTTCAAGTTAAATGAAGGTGAATAGTTGAGAGTATTCCGTGGGAGCTCTATCATACAGTGAAGATTCAGATATCTCCTCCAATTCTGGCATGAATAAAGCAATTCCCAAGATTAGGGATGTGATAAGGGAGTGCTTAGGTAAGATGCAGGGCTGAAGAGGTGTCTTAGTGTTCGGAAGGCTCCTCATATACTTCCCAGTTATTTTCCAATGGCTGGGGAAGTGATCTCACAGGGACCTTGAAAGAGTGTTTTGAAACGTACGAGGTTACAGAAAAATGGCAACTGTATTTAAATGCAATTCTTACATTCAAGACCATCCCAGGACTCCAAGTTAAGGATTCCTGCTGAAGTCTACAGAATAGAAACAAGAGTAAGTGAAGCAAAAGCAGATGAAGGGTGGAGAGACTGAGACATACTATTGCAAATGCATGACAGACAACCCTAGAATGAGGCAGGCTAGAGCCCAGACACATCAGCAAGTCCTAGATGGCATGACCCAGAGACATGGACCTGCCTGCGAGGTGGTTACTGGATATCTGACCCCCAGGGTTGGAGGGGTCAGGCATAGCCCATGTCACCTGACTCAAATCCATGAGCCCACCTAGAACTGGTTCTCTACAGTGTGGAGGCTGGAGTGCTAGATGGCAGACCATGGTGCACGTGGAGGACAAGGTAGGTGATCGGAGCTTGCAGAGGACATCTGGTACCATAGAAGAGAATGGAAAACAGAACATATGGACAACTACCTCAGCCAAACAATGGCAGCAAATATCTGGGTTATTGGAGACTATAAGCTTGATGGTGTCAATCAATGGACATTCGAAGGGATTCCTCATCCATCGATCAGTGAGATTGACAAAATTTTGAACTATCACATCCACCTGGGCAGATTCAGAACATGCGCCATTGTGTCCCTGGGTTGATATGGGATAGCCTTTCCCTGTCTTCGGGTATCAGATATTGGGATGGGTATGGCCTATCCCCTTATCTCCCCTCCCCCCTGAAATGGGAAGAGGAAATAGAAAGCTTGGAAACAACAATCACACCCACTTCTCCCTAAACCTGGATACTTCCCACCCTGACCAAATATATAAACATCATCTAAAATTTAAAAATTAATAATAATTTTTTAAAAAGAATACAGTTGGAAAGCAGGTGGGACAAAGAGGCCCTACAAATCCCCAGCCACCCACAACCCATCTTGTCCTTCTTTCTAGGACTAGACAATCAACAATGTCGAGTGATGACAAGAATAAAGCAAATGAACCCAAGATGGAGCCCAAGACCTGCGACCCCAGATGTGAGCAAAGGTGTGATACCAAATGCCAGCCCAGTTGCCTAAAGAAGCTACTGCAACGCTGCTCTGACAAGTGCCCACCACCAAAATGTTCACCACCACCGAAGTGTTCACCATGCCCCCCACCTTGCCCTGTGTGCCCTGTGGCATGTCCTCCTCCGTGTCCTCCACCATGCCCTCCCAAGCCCTGCCCTAAGCCTTGTCCTCCCAAATGCCCACCTCCTTGCCCTCCTCCATGCCCACCCCCAGAATGATGTAGCATGGGCACCTTTCCACCTGCTGCCACCAGCCTCTCCACCATGTAACCATGAGGCTGGAAGTGAAACCATGAACTGACAAGTAAACGTGTTCCTCTGCTGTGCAAGACTTATGGTGTTCTGACGGGTCTTGATTTATTTTATACTTTTGTTTTACAGCACTGAGTCAAAGAAGCAAGCTTTGGGGAGTGAGCAAAGAGCCCCAGCCCTACAATGTCAGTGACCTTTGAGGACTGGCTTCTGCTGTGCCCTCACCTGCTGTCCAGAAGGTGTGGCTCTTCTGAAAGGAGTGCCCAGGAAACACTGACATCTGATAGAGCAAAGCCCTAGAGAATCAAATATGGGCACAACTGTTAAGATGTCTAATCCCAGAAAACAAGGGGGATAGAATATGAGGGTAAGGAGGAGTGGGGCATCCCCAAAAGGTCCAGGAAAAGGCTCAGGGAGACATTCTTTGACCCTTGTTGTGTCATTAGGCAGGTCTTAGATGGAAAGGTCCTGCATACAAGCTGCTTGAGTTTAAACTCTAGATCTGCTTCCCTAACATTGTGGCCTTATGCAACATTGTGGCCTATGCCTCCGCTTTCTTGCCTCAGCAAAAGGAATGATGATGCTAATGGTACTGTTGCAACATGTTTGTGAGGCTTACAAAGGTACCAAATACAAAGCCTCCACTTCCTTGAAACACAGTGAAGGCTAGATGCAGGGAGAATCCTACACCTGCCCAAGTGTAACACTCAAAAGTGCTTGAACTTAAGGGCTCTGGATTCCTATTCTTCATTAAACTGTAAGCTCCTGAGTGCAGCCAAGTTCAAACGTACGCCTGTGGACACATTGCTATGTTTTCTTTCATAAGAAAGAATTGGATTACAACAATGTCATTTTACACTTACTTTTCATTTTAAAATTTAAGTTGTTAACCTTACTACTTTTACTTCATAGTTAGACATTTTACATACATACATAAACATATGTACTATTTTTTTTCTTGAAAACAATATCACAAAATGAGGGATTCGTGATATTGATCATTCAGTATTTACAGTTGTGTTTACCAAATGATATGACAGCCACACAAATTTTAATATTATTTACATATTAACTTTCACGCATCAGAGATAACTTGTTATATTTATCTTTCTGGGTCTGGTTTATTTCATTTAACAAAATCTGTCATTTTGTTGCAAAAGATAGGATTTTACTATTGTATATGACTGAGTAATGTTTCAACATGTATATATACAACATTTCCTTCAACTAGTCGTAACCTAGTGAACATCTAGGTTTGTTTCATATGTTTGCTATTGTGAGTTAAGCAGCTATAAACATGGGAGTGCCAGTAATTCTTTCATATGCTGATTTCACGTCTTTTGGGTATATTCCCAGGAGGGGAATAACTGGGTCATATGATAAATCCATTTTTAGTGTTCTGAGGACTCTCCATTACTGTTTTCCATGATGATTGTACTGATTTGCTCTCTCACTAACAGTATAGTAAAGATACTCTTTTCTCCATAGCCTCTCCAGCATTGGTTAGGTTTTCATTTTCACGTAATAACCATTCTAAGTGGAATGAGGTAAACCTTCATTGGGTCTTTATTTACAGTTTCCCGATGTCTAGTGCTCCATAGCATGTTTTCTCATCTGCTTGCCATTTGTATTTCTTTGAAAAATGTCTGTTCATATCCTTACCCACTTCTTAACTGAGTTGCCTATTTTGTTGCTGTGTTCTTGAGTTCCTCATTTTTTCTGGGTATTAATACTTTGTATTTGCATATACTTGCATAGCTTGCAAATATTTTATATAGAAAGACCTGTTGAAAGAATTCCAAAAGGTTAGATACCACATGTTTGCCTTAATTTAAGAATCTATAGCCAGTTTAAGGTGTATAGAACCCAGTTGTATATAAACTAAAATCAAAATGTTAATGAAGCAATCACAGGATATGCTTGCAATGAAAGAATCTCAACTGAACTTGAACAATGGTAACGCAGCAAGGTGGAGGAATCCACCACGGGGGGAGGGTTTGGGGAGAGGTGGGGGGAATCCCAGTACCTATAAAACTGTGTCACATAGTGCAATGTAATTAATTTAAAAATATATATATCCTAAAAATAGGATGCTGGACTCTCTGAAATTGTCCATGCCTACAATGTTAGGAAACACTCCAATAATAACATGATGAACTTATGACTGTTTATGAAGAACCACCCATTGTAAATACTAGAGGGGAAATCAGTTGTGGTGGGGAGCTTGGGGAGGAGGATGGGAAATCCCAGAGCCTATGGAACTGTATCATAAAACAATAATTACAGATAATTTTTTAAAAAGAATTTCAGTAAGAAGTACATTGGACCTATATTTTTGAAATTTCACATACCTCTATATTTTTTTAAGATTTATTTGTTTTTATTACAAAGTCAGATACACAGAGAGGAGGAGAGACAGAGAGGAAGATCTTCTGTCTGATGATTCACTCCTCAAGTGATCACAACAGCCAGTGCTGCACCAATCCGAAGCCAGGAGCCAGGAACTTCCTTCCAGATCTCCCACACAGGTACAGGATCCCAAGGCTTTGGGCCATCCTCGACTGCTTTCCCAGGCCACAAGCAGGGAGCTGGATGGGAAGTGGAGCTGCCAGGATTAGAACCGGTGCCCATATGGGATCCCAGCATGTTCAAGGCAAGGACTTTATAGCCACTAGGCCATGCTGCTGGGCCCCCTATCTCTATATTTCAAGAGTAAAATTTTAAATATAAAATAAGTGGAAGACACCAATTAAGAATCACCGGGAAAAACATTCAGACCTGCAATGTCTGTGTGGGTTATTTATAAACAGCAAGAGGGAATCCACATCAAACTAATTTAGTACACAAAAAGGGAGTATGTAGGGAGACAGATATTGGGATGGGTATAAAATTAAAGAGAGAATTATAACAACCAGGACTTGAAGGCTGGATATGTGGACACGCCCAGCATTTTAGTCTCCTCCACATCTCTTGGCTCCCTCTCCAGAGGTGGAGACCTTGATCAGCCTAACACCATTTGCTGACCTGTTGGACACAGGCAATTCCAGTATCTCCAGGAAAAAGTCTGATTGCCCACCCTGTGACCAAGTTTGCCACACAAAGCCAGCTTTGACAGTGACTAAGGGAAAACAGGTTGTGGCTTCTCTGCTGTTCCGGTTACAGGCAATAGCCAGAGAACACATCTGGGTGGTATTGATTCTCCTGTCCCGGTTAGAGGTGATGGTGAGAAGACACATCTGGGGTGGTGTGGATTCTCTGCTGTCCTGGACAGAGGCAATAGACAACACCTCTGGGGTGGCCCCCATAGAATCTGGCATGCAGGTAGGTAGCTCTGTGACATTCTAGGTTTGGAAGGTTGCTCAGGACAGCAAAGAGTACAGCGAGTACAGAGTCCAGAATGTGCTGGGAGATTTAATAATCAGCTTAGAAAACAGACTTCTAAATCACTTGAGCTAAACAAGGCCTTTCAGATGTCTGCCGCCTGCTCTGTTCCTAGGTGTGAAACCTGGAATGTCTGACATGAGGAGGCCTTGGGACTTCAGGATCCTGGCAAGGACAAAAGCCTGGCCCTGAGGTGCCTGTGTTCTCGAATCTATAGAAAGGCACCTAGTGGACATCAGGAATCTTTGAACGTCTAGGCTATGTTGCATTGGAGGGGTTGCCTATAACATGTGGAAGACCCTCCCACACCTTAGGAAATCAAAAAGAAGAAGCAGAAAACAGGAAGTGAGGGGATGGGATGATACAACACCAATGTGACAGCCTCTCTCCTCTATTAAATCACTTTGGAATAACAAATCACATAATTCCAATGCTAAAGAGTGTGCCATTGCTGGTGACAGTGTCAAGATCAGAGATTCTTTTAGACAGAAATTTAGTAAATATGGGAATATGGATCAAATGCATAAAACAACCCTTTGGCCCAGTGGTTCCACCTCTTAAAATTAAATGAAGAAAAATAATTGCAAAATGGGATAGGTGAAGATATCCAAATAGATTCTCAAGTGTGTAAATGTCCCATGAACTTTATCTTAAAAATCATGGACCTACTGATAGAATGTTCTATCGTCATTCAAATGTCTTAAAGAGAAAAAAAGGGGTCCCAGTGTGTACACACCATAAACTGATTCTCTTCAATCAAAATATGCTTGTGAACATTCTCATGATTTCAAGGGAAACAAGTGAACTAATGAGCTTTTATTTTACTGGTTTCTGAATATTCACTAACATGTTCTTAAATGATGAAGAAAAGTAACATGAGGTCATTAACAAATCGGGAAATAATCATACAGATGTTAGAGAGCTCCAAAATCTTGGCACAAAAGGAAGGAAGAATGTCCTAGGATGTGTCACTCTGGGAGGCGCCTCACCTGCGAGACTTCCAGACACAGGACCTCAGCCCCAGGCTTCCAGGTGCTCCTTGGGACTATGACAAGCATCTGCACCTCCCCAGACCACTCTGAGAACTCGGGCCACAGAGTGGGAAAGGGCCAACTCTGAGAAATTAGAGCCATCCATTGCCTGGTTAGCTCTTATTCTCTCATGTAAATGAAACTAAAGATATACATCTTCTAATGGCTACTCTCCCAGCAAAGAGCCGGATCAAAGGCATTGCAGGGAAGATGGCTGAAACACGATAAGAGTGCCGTATCCCCCAGGAATGCGGTAATTATTCCCAGCCCCAGCGGCGGTTACCAGGGCTCTGCGTCAAGCAGCAGAGGGCTGTATAAATAAGAAACACCCAAAAAGTAGCACCACCAGACCTGAGCAGCGCCAGGCGTGATGGTTCACAGATAACAAGCTGCGGCAAATCACAGCCCTCTCCTGTCATGCCAGGACCATTCTGAGGGGCCAATTTTGGGGATAAGAGGACACTAAAGGAGACTCAACCAAGATCCCCTTGCCTCGTGCTTAACAATCAGGCAGAATACTGCTGGGCTTGAAATGGGTCCTTGTAAATAAAGCCAGCTGGGGCCTACAGGCTGGAAGGGGAGCCACATTCAAAAGAGCTGGGTCGACAATCCCAAGAAAGTCGTACTTTGAAACTGAAAGAAAACAGAGACCATCCTCTGG